AGTGTTTTTTTTGGGCAGGGCTGTCTGGCGAATTGAAACAGATGGGATGCTCCTTGTCGGCTAGAGGGAATGACGGGGCATGACACGAGTGCGCCTTTCTCCATTGAGCGCCCTTGCGTCGATAGCAAGACAACCATCCCATGCTCTCGTAGCATCTCGCCTTGCACAGTTGAGGAGGCAACTGGAGAGACGTTACACTTGTTGCCTTCCTCTGTGGTTGCGAAGGAAGGCAATGAGGGAAATACAGCAAAGTATCAGGCAATAGCTGCGTGTGGCTGAATCGTAGCGGTGAGCGAGCATGCGACTGACGGGCTCGAGATCGACCCCAGTGTCCCCACGCGGCAGTTGCGGTTTGGCTCTGGCCGGGTATCGATCGAAAGGTTTCGGAGCCAGTGCTTCGCGGCAGGCGGGAAGACGCAAGTCATTGCTTGTTTGGTCGTGTGTTTGCGGCGTGGCGTAGCCGGGACGCAGATAATATGGAGAGTTGTCTTGCAGAACGGCAAGATGCTGCAGATGCGATTGAGTAGCAGTCACGCAGTGCAGTGTGCTATGTAGGCACGTAGGTCGATGGCGTGGTGGTTGCGGCGGTCGGTCGTGAAGGTGGGTGGTGCGGGGCAATGGTTGCGCTTGTCGTCGTTGTCTTCTTCCCTCTCGTAGGCCAGTCGGGTTGGAGATGAGTCTGGACAGCTGTTGCATCGGGATATCTCACATCAAAGGACTAGCGGATGTTCCAGAGTCTTCGATGTGTCCCACTGTCAGGTGGTGCTTGGCAGTCATACCGACGAGGGCTGACAGCCCATCAGGCACAGGCCAGGAGGCACAACAGACGGGCAGTCGCAGTCGACCAGCAACCAGAGATGCGGGCGGATGGTTGGGTCGAAATGGGCACGTCCATTTCATCCACAGCGATGCAGGGAGAGAGACATGGACAAGCGTGTAGTTAAAATCGGGCTGTCGGCGCAGTGGGGCCCATTTCTGCGTGCAGGTATCGATCGATATCCACGATTGGAAGGGATCGTGGCGGATTAGGTTTGGGTTCTGGAGGGATTGACGGATTGACTGGCTGTGGTTGTTGACAGCGTTGATGATGCGATGCCCAAGGGTGTGAAGGAGTTGTTGATGTTTTATTTCTTCTGCCTCGAGTCCTGGTTCGGTGTTTGTTGATTGCAGGAGATAGGAACGATAGGTACTGCAGGCGAGGCAGGCAGGTATGGCTCGGAACTGACCCAATGGAAGGAACTGAGACGGAAGGCAAGAACGGCGGGAGGTGCGCCTGCCCGAAGTACCATTACCACCACCAAGACCTGCCGTTGCGGCTTCACATCCACATCCACATCCCACCAGCAAGCAGTTGCATGTTTGGTTGCTGTTCGTTCACCTCAGTCCCGTCCGTCACGTTCATGCAGCTCCCACGTCTGCCGTTAGCCTCCACCGAGGACAAGCATCCGTTTCCTGGGCAAGCCATCCCGTCCCGGCCGCTCTAGACGGCATCCATCTTTGCCAATGGGCGTCGCTCGCTGGTTCGCCTCAATCAATCATCAATCAGACTGGCGTCAACATCTTGCGCACTAACGTTCTTCTACCCAGCACAAAGTCCCTCCGCTGACGTCGGCCAAATTCCCGATCCATCACAAGCGGACAACGATACGGCACGGCGGTTTTTTTGTTAGTCAGGGACCCGAGCGACCCTTGTCCTCCGGTCAGACGGCATTGGCATTGCATCGCACAAGAAAGAGCGCGGCATACATACAGCGTGCCTGTCCGTACAGAGCATTGCGACGCAACCCACGGCGGATGGGGGCAGCTGCGGCTTCTGCGACGCGAAGCCAATAGCTCCAACGAATGAAGCAGTGTACATTCATGTTGCCAGGCGGGGATTTGCTTCCTGTCCCCTATTTTTCTCAAGTTGTCGAACGCAAACATCTGCACGAAACAGGTCTCCGTGGCCCGTCGTCATCCACCCAACACGAGGAGTCCAGAAAATGCTGGCTTGTTCTTAGTCGACAAGCCCCCTGCCCCCAACACTTGCGGTGCCTCCCCGGTGGCGGTGGGGGTTTGTGACACTGGCTCGCCGTCTGCCGGACGTCTACTATTAGTTGGAATTTCAGAAATTCAATGTTCAGTTCACTGCGTGCCTTAGCATCGCGCCAAAGCCCTGGAAGGATACGCCGTCAATAGCGAAGGTGAATCCTGGATCCGGACCTTCACCTTAGAAAAGCGCAAGCGAGGAGCATCCTGGCTCTGGTCCAGACCTGAACAGACGGACGTCATCGCCGCGATCGACACGGACGACAGCCGGCTTCCCGAACAGGAAAGAGAGCGACTCATTGCTCACCACACCACCAGCGAGCTGTGAGCTCACTGCCGTCAGAACCCTCTAGTTCCGAAGGACGGCCTCGCATTTCAAAGGGCCTGCTTCGGTTTCACTCCCCTAAACCAAAGTCACTAGCCAGTCGAACCCTTACGACGGAATAATTATGTGCTTCAGATTGGACCTGATCGATTTCAATTCACCGGTCGCTTCTTCGCCCTCTTTTGGTGGACTGCCTCTTGGGTTAAATCCGCCTCATCAGACAGACCACTTAAACTTCTCATCACATTTCACACACAGTCGATCGCCTCCTTGCGTTTCTTCATCAACAAGCCCTCAGTGGCGACCATTGCCAGCACCAGTCGACAGTTGGAAGCAGAAGATCAGGAAGATGCAGGCAGGACTTCAGGGCGGAACCTACAGTCGAATCACCGCCCTCGTCTCATCCGGCCTCCAGTTTTCGTCTTCATCTGAACTCCTCAGGAACACACCACAGAGACGAAACGGCCTTAGCCAAGCAAGCAAGCGTTTTCCACATGCCCGCCCAACAGGCCTCCCTTTCCAGCGCGATTTGATTGAGCTAGCACCATTGGCCCTCTGCCTGGGTAATAGATAGGCTCAAGACTTGTCCAGCAAAGGCAACGTACTAAAACAGTTATCGGCAAAGCGCCCAGTCGTCGGCCGTCCATTTCCCAGCTAACGGGGAACTTACCTTACATGACGGCACTAGCATTGGCATTGACGTTGACGCACGTACACAGTCAATCCGCCAATCCAGCTTGTCAGCTTGGTCAGGGTAGAGCTACCTCGAGCTACACCAAGACACACCCTCCTCTCCATGGCTCGTCGACTACGTAGGAATACTGGAGTATTTCACGTGCAGCACGCGACGGACAACAAACCACCCTCCGTCTATTATTGTACATGGCATGCAGCCTTGTCGCGGCAACAAGCACTTGTCCGTCGTCAGCTCCGGATAACCGCAGGCCCCTCGCGATCTTCCGAAGACCCCTACTGGAGGAACAAAGTTCTGTCTACGACAACGTCCAACCGTCGACATCCTTGGCCTTATCAACCAAGTCCTTGGTTTCGCGGCACCTTGCCTACTGCGTACTCCCGTACCGCCGTACCAGTACAGTTTGTGCTCTGTACTCCAGGTACCCACGGGCTGGCGGCGTTTCTCGAGGTAGATACCAAACCGCCAACCGGACGACAGAAAGGACGGCGGCGCCCCAGGGACACAGACTCTCCCTTCAGACAGCAGCCAACCAGTCACGCAGCCTGATTGACTGCTGACTATCTCTTTCTCTGACATTTCGCCCGTTCTGCCTTGCGAATGCTCATGTACATTCTACGGACTCGACTTGTCCCCGGACCATCATCAAAGCAAACCCCCCCGCGATCCTTACAGCTGTGTCGACAGGGATCAGTCCAGTCCTCGCTCCGTCATTGCACCCAGGATAACCGCCCTCCCGAAGTAATCGACGTCGCAGTTCAATTGTCGCCCAATTTTCGCCCCCCAGCCAGCGTTCCCGACACCCTTCGCCCGTCAGATGCTTCAGTGACGTTGATCTCGTCCTTGGATATTTGGTAGTGGAGGTAAGATTCCCTCGTCGATCTATTCTTTCCTACAACCTCGTCCCTCACTCATCTATCTTTTACGCACACATGCAATGCGCCTACTCACACTCCATATGACTACTCGGCTCGACACCCTTTTTGTATGGAACCGTGGCATGGAGCAGGTGCATGGATTTATTCGTCCTATTTTTGCGCCCTTGTCCACCCACTGCTGAATCCCTACGTTCCGCAACTAAGTTGCTGCTAGCAAGCTGACTCGCCCCTCTTTCCCACGGCGCTGCAGGTGCATGCAGTAGAGAATTCCACCAGGTCCACATCAAGCAGCCAAGCGGACGAGACGAGGGACGAGAGACGTTTCGACGGCGATCCGACGACAACTGCACCCACCTCAACCCAAAGCCAGCCCGACCTTCCCTGCCTTGCCTGACCTGACCAGACCATCTGGCTCAGTTGCTTGCGCTGGCGTGCTCGCTGAACACCGGACCTGGACCCCGCCATCCTGTGCTCCTCTTCCTCCTCCACCTGTGCCCAAGGCCCAAGAATCCACACCACACCCGACTCCGACTATCCATTTCGGTGAGGTGGGCATCCCAGCATTGCCCCTCATCCTCTTCCTCTCCCTCTCCTTGTCTCCCTCCACGACCAGGGAAGGGGGAAAAACACGGACACAAGCATAGGGCTTCATCCCATTGTTCGCCCGAAAAACACCAGCGAACAAAGTGAGACAACACAACACCCACCCAGATCAGCAACAGCCGTGAAAAACCCAAAAACGCCAAAGCACTTCGACGTCAAAGCGAGAAAGACATAAAAATTTTAGGGCGGAATCCTCACGTGGGTTCGTCGTGCATCTTTTCCGCTACGTCCGCTCCGCATCATCGCAATTTACTTACTCGGCGCCCAACCCAACCCGACTGCCCCTCTTCATCTTCCTCCCTCGTGGCGCCGACTCGACGCAACTGAACCCTCCAAAAACATCACTTTCGCTGGAGAGTGATCAGAAATCGAGAGCAGCGGCCAAGTTGGCGGTGACGGCGAAGGCGACGGCGACGACAAACACATCACAGGACGACTCGTAGCGTGCTGACAACTCAGCAAACCCGTCGCTATGGATCCCCGCTACTCTTCTTCGCGCTACACCGGCACTCGCCCACGATCGCCTACCTATAATCCGGCGAGAGCGTCGATGCCCACCAGCATCGGTTATAGCTCCATGTACGGAGGCGACATTCACGTCATGCCTACCTCTACGAGGTACACCCCGACGACCTCTTCTTCCTCAAGAGGCCATCACCATTCTCACTCCACCACTACTCCGACAACCACCACCACGTACGCTGTCACCAAGGATCCTCTGGCCCGCGGTCCCAGCCTGAGAGATGTGAGCCGCAACCGGGCAGGCCGTTCTACAACTCTTGACTCCAGCGCTCCCCGCCCTGTCATCGTCACTACTACGACAAGAACACCTCAGCAGGCAAGCTCTTCTTCGCATCACTCTTCGAGCAACAGACACTCCAGCCCGACCCGCGACGATTACCGCTCCAGCGACAGCACCTTTTACACCCAGCCGGCGTCTTCTATACGTTCCCGAAGCCACCATCGCGGTGGCTCTTACAGCGCAACAATGGATAACGAAGAGTTCACTCGCCTTCGCGAACGAACTGTCGACGGTCGGCTTGATGCATACCGCCCAACAAGATCGTCCACCCTATATGCGAACAGCTCTCGTCACGGCAATGCTCCCATTGATTACGGAGCCACTGATGGCTACGAATACACCGCCCCTGGCGACCTTGCTCGCTACGACTTGGACCACTCTCGTCCCCCCTCCAGATCTCGCAGACGAGAGAGCATTGACCGTGGTTACTACCGCCCCAGTGTCAACGTGACCACTACAGATCCTGTCAGTCGTCCGTACAACGACACTGGCCGTCGCGGCGGCCCTCCGCCGACGACTTGGGGTCTCGACAAGATCAATAAATCAACCACCAACGTGTATGACTCAGGGCAAGGCTCTATCCCGCCCATTGTTCCGGCCGCTCCTGTTCACATGCAGGTTCCTCCAAGCCCTAGGGATCGACGTTCCGCCGGTATCCCTTCGTCTTTGGATGTGGCCGCACCGTCCGTCGCAGCCGCAACAGTAGCCGGTCCCACTTCATCTCGTCGCCCTGTATCTGTGTACAATGAGGGAACAGCTCCGCGCTCCATTCACCACGAGGATTATTACCGCAGCCGTGAGGATGACCGTGTGCAGCGACAAGCAAGAGAGGATCGCCCTTATGACGCTACTTACGGTAGTGGCGACTACTTCCATGATGATGCCGTGTCCACGCGCGGCTTTGGCATTCGCACGGATTCGGCTCCACTTGGAGGCGATTTTGATGACCCACGGAACCCACGTAGAGAGGTCCGTCCCGAATCCCGCACCGGGTACCGCCCGGAGTCTAGAACCGGTCATCGGACTTCACCCCCGGACACAAAGAGAGGCTCTGATGATGAATCAAGGAAGAAGCGTGACTCCGCACGACTCGAGCCCGAAAGAGAAAGACACAGCCGACGGATCAGCACCGCCAACGATGATGAATCCGAGCGAACCAGGTTTCGGGACAAAGTAAGCGCTGGTCTCGGACTGGCTGCTACAGCAATCGGCCTTGGGCAGGCTGTGAAGGAAAAAGATGAGAAGCCCGAGAGATCCGATAAGCCTGAGAAGGAATCCCGAGAGTCACGGCGTCGCAACGATGAAGACGAGTCAGGAACGCGCACCGCCGATAGGTACAAGCCTAGAGATGAGTCTCGCGACCCAAGGGACCGCGCACCTGTGATCGTTGAGACCCGCAGAGCACCCGCTGACTCGGAGGCGGATACTCGTGAGCGTGACCGCGGCGAGCGGGAAAGGGAAAGGGAGCGGGATCGGGACCGGGACCGTCGGGATGCTGAGGCTCGACTTACTGGCGACAGCGTTCCGTCTTCCCAGCGCGACGGTTCTCCTGACGACGACCTTAAGAAGTCGAAGCGGCCTGCTCAAAAGGCCATTGGATTCAACCCCACAAACACTAACGACATCCGGGAGTTGAAGGAGCAACTAGCAGCAATGAGGGACGAGAAGCCTAGGGAGAGAGAGAAGGTTCCCATTGCTGCTGAAAGGTCTGACCGCTCGGAACGTCCAGAGCGCTCTGAGAGATACGATGAGCGATATGACAGATCGGAGCGGTCAGAGAGGTCTGAACGGTTGCCGCGAGACGACCGATCGGATCAACAAACTTACGCTGATCTTCCCCTGAGAGACACGAAAGAGCGCACGCCTTCGCCCAGGAAAGAGTCACCGCCCAAGAGGGAATCACCTGTAACGGTGCCGTCAACTGAGTCGACGAGAGATGAGTCTCGGGGCCGTGAGGTTACACCGCCTCACGGAGATGAGAAGCAGGTTCGTGTTGTTTCTCCGCCTCGCGACAAATCGGACTCGAAGCCACTCAAGGGTATCCTCAAGGCACCTAGCAAGTTCCCCGAGGAAGACAACCCGATTCGTGAGGGTGTCGCCCCTCACAAGGATGACAAGAAACTGAAGGAGGTCCCTCCGGGCGCCCGTTGGACCAAGATCAGCCGGAAGATTGTCAATCCGGAAGCCTTGACCGTCGGAAAGGAACGGTTTGAAGTTCGCGACGACTTCGTCATCGTGCTCAGAGTCCTCAGCAAGGAGGAAATTCAGGCATACGCCGCTGCCACTCAAGTCCTGAGAGGTATGTTAAATACTCAAGTCGTTCTTCCACAATTGAATCTAACCAGTAGCACAGAGAGGAGGCGTGAGGAGGCAGGCAAAGACCGCGACCACGATCGCGAGCGAGACCGTGAGCGCGATCGGGACCATGACCGGGGACGCGACAGAGATGAGGACGATGACAGGCGAAGACACTACCGCCACCACAGGAGAGATGACGGGGATGACGATCGATATGACGAGGAGCGCGATCGTGAACGCCACCGCAGACATCGTCGAGACGACGACGACGACGACTATCACCACCGCCGTCACTATAGGGATCGCGACCGCGACCAGGCGGCTATCGAGGGATAAGGGTCAAAGGAACGCATGTACTGATGAATGAGCTATACGGGCGCAGAGATTTTGAATTTTCCAGCGAGAAGCAGCATTGGATGAGGAGCTCCACAAGCGAGAAAGCGTTTCTTTCATATTTTACACTTTCAGGCGGAAAAGATTCAATATTTATATGGGCATGGCAAAGGAAAAACCTAGCGGCTATCGAGGCAATAAATCTACAAAACACTTCTTCGACGTATGAAAGGACCCTCGTCGATAGCTGTCGCAGTGGACCCCACATGAATTGGTCCCGTGGACAGTTTGGAGCGAACTGGTCTCACCTTCGGGCGAACGCCACGACGTATTAGCTCGCTCTAGATGCTTGGGCAACAGATGTCATTCGTCTTTGGCTTTCGTGTTGTTCGCACCCTCCGCCGGCGCAGCATTACGTGAGTCTCTTCTGCGACCCTGCCTCGGCTCCCACTTGTCAATGGAACACCCTCTTTCAGAGTGCCCTTCTCAATATCCACAGAACTGTCAAGGTGATGATGCATGGCGCCTCAACGGTGACTTTGATTATTATTTGCTACTAGCAAAACTCTTTTCCTTGACAGAAACTTTGCCTCCCACCCTCCTGAAGCAATGTTGCTCTTGTATTGGAAAAGTCTGTGGTTGGTAGGCGGGATAGGATATAAGGTTTCTGAAACTATCCATCCTCAACGCAGTCCGCATCCACATGAACGCCAGGTGAGTGACCAGAGAGCTTCCTTGATGTATGGGTTCAATCATAATTCTAAGCACATACGACCATACCCATTGGAGAACTCGGGATCCCGTCCGCTCTCCCATAGATAAGCCAATGAGGGCTGGAGTAGTAGTCGGGTCGGTGACGACCGGCGAATGCCCGGTGTTGCATGTGCTTTTTTTGCACCTTCCTTGTTCGAGGGTTGTTGTTCGTTTTGTTCAACCATCTCTCGTTCCGAGGACAGACAGTTGCGCCTGGGACATATTTGTGGCATATTATGTATGCTGAGGCGTTTCTCCTTGTGCACCTTGGTAATGATCGTTCATACGTATGTCGCCGCAAACTTTGAGCACAGCTAGAAAGTTGCTCTGTGGCTGTTGTTACGAGCAATATATTAGCAATATGCTGATCAGTCTGAGTTTGCTGTGCAGAGCCTAATATGAGAAGTCTCGAAGCCACTGCGAGAATCAAACTATTCTCGAAGGGCCGGTTTTTCACGTCTAGCTACTCATATCGACCATTGAACGACCTCTCTACCTCTTTAGCCCAGCCACATCCATTTGTGCGGATGCCTCATGAAGGCTGTTGAAAAAGTCTGTTACCATTACTGATGCAGACGCCTACATCGAACGTTGGACGACTCCAGCGCCAGGCAGTGGCTGCTCATCGTCGCCATCAGGGTCTATCATGATCTGTTGAGGCGTTCTCGACGCGCCATGAGTGTTGGAAGCCTCCTCGATTGTATCAGCGTAAGCGGATTTATAAATGAACACGACGTGACGCCTGATGTTTCCCCTTTTTCTTTGTCCTCATCTCTCATCATCGTGCCCTCCTTTCCCGTCTTGTTTGCGGAAATTCACCGATCTCACACCATGAAGTGCTTCATCATCACAGGCGCCATCTTGTTGGCGCCCTTGGCGATGGCCAAGCCGGTTAACTTTCAATCAGCCCGGCCCAGTCTCGTCAAGCTTGCGGCGGCCGCCGGCAAGAACATCACGTCGGATGGCCCGAACTTCGAAGACAACGTTCAAGGACCTGAGCAAAACATGCACCAGTGCATCGTAAACTGTTGGGTCAAGAAGATAGGGGATGCGAACAAGATAGGGGATGCGGACACAATGAAATGCACCTGGGATTGCATGAACCGCCCCGAGAACACCGTCAATGTTCCGTCCACGAGCACTTCGCCGTCCACAAGCACTTCGCTCTCAACGAGCACTCCGCTCTCAACGAGTAGTCCGGCTTCCAACAGTCCCCTTGTTCCCACCGGGTCGAGGAGCTGCTCGAGCACTATCAGCTCGACTGCTGCTCCCACTCCGACTACTACTAGTACTCCTGACGAGACTACCACGGCCATGATCACGGTCACCAACACCGCAACGATCACAGAAACAGTCTACATGCCAGACGACGCTACTACCACTGGAACTTCTGACTCAACTCCCGCTCCTACTCCTATCGATACACCTGCGGAGACAACTACTACCGCTGTAATTACCAGCGCTCCTGATAGCACTGCTACTGGAACTTCCTGTGCTTCGATGAGCTGTGATCCTACGACCACCGTCACCGTCGCCACAACAATCACAGCCTCCCCCTCGCCTTTGGCTTCGACTTCAACTTCGGTCGATGGCCCCGTCTCTACCCCGGAAGCGTCGTCAACGTCGACCGTAACATCGACATCAACCGACGCTCCTATCTCTATCCCAGAAGCATCGTCAACGTCGACCTCAACATCTACTTCTTCTGTCTCTACCCCAGGATCGCCATCATCCAGCACTTATTCGTCCGATTTCACCACTACCACCGCCGCCCCCGAAGAAGTCACGGTCACAGCAACCAACAGTGTCACCGTTGCCCCAGCAGAAGTCACAGTCACCGCGACCAACACTGTTACCCAGTCACAGCCGCACTATCTCCTTAACCCTTTCCGCCCGTTCGACCCAAACCCTACCATGCCATTAGTATGATCAAGAGTATCAAATGGTGTGCGGAGGCTAAAGTCGGTATAGACATGGTAACATGTTTGGTGGAGTGAAGAGTTGTGGCATGTTTTTGTTCAGGCCCAAAACCTAAAGCTCACTGATAAAAGGGGCAGATTTTGTAGTCTGAGAAAATTACGTAGATCCAGGTCCTCTGTTTATGCGAATCAAAAGACATTGTTTGAATACAGGAAGTCCGGTGACATGAAGACAAGATGATTACTGGCCGAATGAATATGTTCTGTCTTTGTCACGACTGTCGATATCATCTATAGCCCTCGACAGTTTATGAAATTGCGCACCAAGTCCAAGCAGGACTGATTGTTCAGCTAGCTTTCAGCGCTACAACCCTTCATGCATTGCATTTGAATTGCCTTTACAAGCTTCGTTGCAGTAACGCTAGGAAGTACCTCCAAGCAGTCTCCTCGCAACTCTCGCCTCGTCTCATGGTTTCCTTTATGAGATGTTTAGCATCTTCATTCTTGTCGTGGCATCATATCGGTGTTCGATCTACTTGAAAGTGAAGCTAGAGGGCTGTAGGAGTAAGCATACGTCTGGAAATCAGACATGGGAATTTTGGAGGTTTCTCAACAAGTTTTGTGTCAATTTGCAGCGGTGTAAAGAGTTCACTCTCTTGTTGACTTGCTCAATGATAACGGCCAAGCTCCACTGTGACAGGAGTCGTCAACAGCAAACGTCATCACAGCTTGCCTCTCTGTCAATGAATGTCGGATGGACAGAACCTGCCCGGCATCTTCATTTCGTTTCTTATGATCGCAATCAGAATAGCCTCGTCGTATATTGGACCACCGAGACGTATCTCATCTTGACAGCTATGTTCTACATGGCCCCCGTTGATGGCATAGAAGTCGAGGCTTTTGGATATCGCGTTGAGCCGGTAATCATTTCCCTTGAATTCGTCTTTGAGACCCGATAATACCAGGTGAACACGACACTGATATCTGAAATGGCGTCGCCAGGAGACATGGCAACGCCTGCAGTATTCTGGTCTTTAGTATCTTCCAACATAAGACCGTCTCTTGAAGGTCATTGATAGTTGTAGCTGATCTATGTACGAGCAACGACGTACTCCTAACAGCCCCGGTCAGGGCAGCACTCATGTACTTCACATAAACCACGGCGAAGAAGAGGGACATCACGGACTGAGCGACCCCCTTTCCGCATACTTCAGAATTCCTCCAAAGTTGGAATCTCACAAGTGTGCTCTTGTGACTCTTCCTGCAACGCTCATAGTTAAACTGTCTATCTTATGAGTTGACGGCACGGCACCAGATTCGACAGCTCAACTTCACTGGCAGCTAGTCAACCTCAACCCGGGCAACTTGTAGTTGTCTAGCAATGTCACCAAGTTGACCTGTAACCGACATCCGTCATTCTTGAGTCTCCCGGATTCAATGAACCAAGGCCAACTTGCTCCTACCTCTGCGTGGGCATACCAGATACCCGGTCACAACGCTCGACGCGTCCGCTGTCTCCCAGACGCGTCGCTCCACAGCCGCCTCCCATGTCGTCGAAACCCGGCGGCCCCAGGACCCCTTTTTTCTGCCCACTTTCTCCCTCTCAACTCACTGACTCTGTCCGACTCTCTCGTCGACAAGGGTTCTCCCCGTCATTTCGAGGTCACATCGACATCAGAAATGCGAACCCGCTCGACGTCTCATTGTTCCACGCAAAGGGTATTCTGCCCACCGGCTGCCTGGGGGGTTTCAATATCGTCGCTCTGGTATACCGCGGCAAGGCATACCCGCTCCTGATGAACCCGTCACCCAGAGTTGGGGTCGGCATCTCCAAAAAAGCAGGAACCTTGGCACCACGAACCCAGCAGCAAGTTGATGAAAAAGGAACGCTCCCTTAGCAGCGGCCAGGAATGCGGTCTATCAAAACGTAACCCCCACGTGGAGAAGGACAAGGCCAGGTTCGCAGGCCGAAGAAAAAAGAGGGCAAGACAGAGAACAAGAAGATACAACGATGCTGTCCTCAATCCCAGGCCTGGTCCGGCATGGATATCCATGCCAAGGCCCCCTCGCACCTCATCCCCAGGGCCCGCATGCCTAAATATAGTGGAATGATGCTTGTCACCAATACCACTGCATCATGCAGGGGAAGCTCGGTGGTGTTTTCAGGACTCTCACCTCATTTCTTCATCCTTTAAACCTTTTTGGGCAAAAGCGCTCGCCGGACGCGTCGAGGGCCCCCCCGACGGCGGAGTACGGCGAGCTTGAGTGGACAATGGCCCTGGGAATTCCCACCGACCCGGAATTACCAGGGCCCTTGACCAGCATAGACGCGCTAAGATATCGCGGCGCGTCTGTCTGTCAGGCTTGGGCAAGCTGAAGCTCGCCGCGACTTTGAGATGCCTTCATCACAGCCATATCGAGGTACATGAATCAACGGATTGTTTAGAGCAGCACAAGAGACTTGACTAAATATGTTGGGGTTCTTCCAATTCCTCAGAACCGGGGCCAGGCTCTCATAGTCTTTGAAATTGGACGGCGATCTGGGAAGATTGGCGGAAATACCAAAACCCTTCCTAACAAACGAGTCGGGTACTCTCAATCTCAAAGGATACCGTTTAGAACCCCAAGCGAGTTACTTTGTAACCAACCGCTTTCACGTTATCAGCCGGTATTTGCATGAGTGCTTCAGAACTCGTCGTTGGAGACATCCCCACCAAGAGGTCCATTCATCTCCATCGGGACTGAGGATCGAGTGTCTGCTCCGAGAGATTGCCTTGGCGATGACTCTGTGTTCTTCTAATCTGCGCTCACGAAGCCCAGGCGCAATATGCGTCGAACTGCGCCTCCGACCAGCGTCCAAATAGGTTGCCGGACCATCACCGAAACTTGATTTTGGCCGCGAAGAGGAAGTAGAGCCGGGACCAAGCTCTGTGACAGAGCTGCCCTCAAACGCCTTTTGTCATGACTGCCTGGCCGATGGTCAACTACTGCTTGTTTGTGCACCTTTCCCCCGATATTGGCAATATCCAGACTGTGGCACTGAATCACCAATGATTGGGGGCAATATACGGACAACCAGCAAGTGACCTGTCCGCTCACGTCTTGACAATGCTCCCGGATGGCGATCACTTGGGAGTTCCGCAATCTGGGCTGGCTAGATTGAAGGCAGCCTCTGTCATTTCGCGTTCAGTAGTGCCAGTTCATAAAGTTCAGTAACACGTCTCCTTGCAGCACCAACATTGACTACTATGCATTTCGGTGCTGTTGTTCACAACATGGCTGACAACGCCAACTCGTCCAGAGTGGGCTTCGTCTGCCCAATAACATGGAGTGACGGGCGAATGCCACTTGGTGCCGTCCCTTTTCAGCACCGCTCACGTATGTATACATCACCCGAGAATGTCAAAACAGACCGCCGATCACAGAGCCTAGAACACGGCGGCATGGCCTCGTTCGCAGCGTTTGCGAACATGAGCGATGTCTCGGTCAATGTGTTTAACTAGACAAAGGATACCGAGACCCTATCAAACCTCCCTGACCGCCCCGGTGTTGCAGCGGTGAGCTGTCGTCGACTGGGCGGTGAGAGTGCATACACTCAACGGCAGCTGCAAACATGATGAGTGAACGTGTCAGTCTACCAAAGACATCAACTGCATGCTTGCCATGCGGACAGTAACAGGCTGTCTCGCTCCCCGTCAAGAACTTATGCACATGGCGTGGCGGCGAGACCACATCCCGTGACGAACGGTTCTTCCCCACTTGTTGGAATCCAGCTCATCGTCCCCACAAACGGCTTCAATGTCTTGGAGGAAGTTGGTGATGTCTTGGATGATACTTTCCGCCCAGCAGCGCTCAACCAATACAAAACGGCGCATCGTAGAAACACAAAGACACATGGCTGTTCATGGCTCGTCAAATCGGAAAGTGAACCCAAATGCCTATCAAGATGTTGGGCTACCCGCAGCTGTCCTCCTCAGCGCGAGTTACTCGGGATGATAGAGGAAGTTGAAAACAACACACGATTGGGCTTCACTGACTCTGATACTCATTTTCACAAAAGCCCAATCCAATGACAATCGCGTTTTTCGCGAACTTGTTATCTTCTTCAGGGTGGACGCTTCGTCGGTTGACATTCCAATGTTCGACCCTGTCACTCGGATGCGAGTGATACTCGCCAGTCCTCAGCTTCTAAGCGTGAGGTATTGATCTTTCGATAGCAGTCTCATCCGACGGCCAAAGCGTCAATCCTGATGCCAACCGATCCTACAAAAACGGCG